TCATCTGGACTCGTACAATGAGTTCCTAATTTATAATAAGTTCCTTTCCTTCCTGCAATCCAGTTTATGCATGACATTATTCAAGAGATGTTTCTGGTTTGGAATTAGGACTTTTCCAACCTAATAGCACTCTAGGATTGGAATCCAGAAGTCATATAATGCTGGACCTGAAAAAGGTGTCTGTTTCATTTCATCTATACCCTACATCAATAAGGATAGTCTAGGTTATGCTGAAGTAATTCCAAAAAAAGTCTCAAATCTCAGTGGGTTAAAACAGCAGAGTTCTTTCATGCTCAAACTACACAATTATTATGGGGTGCCTGGGGTATCTGCTCTGAATTATCCTCATTCTCGGACTTATCCTAATAGAGCAGCCACTGCCTGGACTCTTGCCAGTCATCATAAATGAGGGAAAGAGAGCTATAGCAAAACACACTGGTCCTTAACACTTTCCCAGAAGTGACATATATCACTTTTAATCAGTTTCTTTGGCCAAAGCAAGTTACATGGCCATGCTTTAATTATAAGGGTGTAGGGCAGTGCAATACTTCCATGTGTCTAAAGGGAAAAATGAAAATATTTAGCGAATAGCACTAATGACTAACCCACCCTTACATTTTATAGATGAAGAAACTGGGGTCTAGAGGAATTGTGTCACTTGTAATATCAGGGTGATTGATGTCATAGCTAAAACTAAAACCGAGACTTGAATTCACGGTCCAGTACTTTTTAGAATAATGAACCAGGAATGACTTGTTCCTTACTCCCAATAAAACTAACTTAAACTTCTTTTTTTTTTTAATTTTTTAATGTTTATTGTTTATTTTTGAGAGAGAGAGAGAGAGAGACAGACAGACAGAGCACAAGTGGGGGAGGGGCAGAGGGAGAGGTAGACACCGAATCTGAAGCAGGCTCCAGGCTCTGAGCTGTCAGCACACAGCCCGACGCAGAGCTCGAACTCACGAAACTTGAGCCAAAGTTGGATGTTTAACTGACTGAGCCACCCAGGCTCCCCTAGATTTCTTAATATCAATGCTTTATTTATTTACATAATATAAAATCCTTGCATTGAAATACTTTTTTACCTCTGCCGTAAAACATAAAACACAGACAAGTCAGGGGCCTGTCCTTCACTCTCCCTCACGTTCTGGCAAAGTGTTCCAGTGATGAAACACTCAACATCCCTTTATCCTGTCTTCTCTCATTTCCAGAAAAATTAAATCATGTTTTATGCTGGTTTTTCTAAACACATTGGCTTAAAAATGCAAAGAGATAAGCAAGAGAAGTATGTGTCTCTCTATATATACCAAACACTCTCTGTCTGGTGAGTCCATTACAAATGTATTCCCAACAAAAACTCAACTGACCAATGGTTTTCGGAAGTGAGGTGTATGTCACCCTCATAACAAGAAGGCTAAAGGTGGATGGCTGATAGTGTTGGTTCAGTAGCTCTGTAGTATCAAAGCTCATAGCTCTCTTGGTCTTTTCTCATGGACACAAGGTGGTTGCAACTATGCCATGAGACCAAGTATAGATGAAGGGGGAAGGTGGAAGCCAGCTGTGACACCTCTTAATAGAGAAGCAAAAGCCTTCCCAGAATCAACACACTGCCCCCCATTCTAGCAGACTGACCCTGAGGTCTCATTGGCCAGGCCTGGGAATACATGGCCACCCCTACCAACAGGATAGACTGGAAAAATAGGGAACAAAATTCTCATTATGATTGGTAAAGCCTAATTCTGCCTTGAACAAAAAAAGTTCAAGGAATGCCAAGGGGATAGAACGTTCTAGGATGAATATTAAGAAAACAGCTAACAATGTCTGCCCTGTTTGTTGATTGATTAAAAGGTAGTATCATTTTTACAGTTGACATAGAAACTAGAACTGATACATGAATTCAGCAAAGTCACAGGATACAATATCAATATACAGAAATCAGTTGCATTCTTATACACTAATAATGAAGCAACAGAAAGACAAATAAAGAAACTGATCCCATTCACAATTGCACCAAGAAGCATAAAATACCTAGGAATAAACCTAACCAAAGACGTAAAAGATCTGTATGCTGAAAACCATAGAAAGCTTATGAAGTAAATTGAAGTAGACATAAAGAAATGGAAAAACATTCCATGCTCATGGATTGGAAGAATAAATATTGTTAAAATGTCAATACTACCAAAGCTATCTACACATTCAATGCAATCCCAATCAAAATTGCACCAGCATTCTTCTCAAAGCTAGAACAAGCAATCCTAAAATTCATATGGAACCACAAAAGACCCCAAATAGGCAATGTAATTTTGAAGAAGAAAACCAAAGCAGGAGGCATCACAATCCCAGACTTTAGCCTCTACTACAAAG